GTGGACAACAAGATGCAACTTTTTTCCATATGTGGTGGACTTGCAAGGTTATTAAGGCCTTTTGGATAAAATTGTGGTGGAACTTACAGCAAATTTTCAAAAGAAGAATTACTTTCTCGCCTCAGTTGTTTCTCCTAGGTATCACACAAAATTTGGATGTAAAAGAAACGAATTTGATGTTATATTGCTTGACTGCTGCTCGTTTGTTGATAGCTCAAAATTGGAAGAGTAAAATTTTACCTACAATGGAAGACTGGAGATTGAAAGTTTCGTACCTTGCTGAAATGGCAAAGATTTCGGCCTATTTGAAGAATTACTCAAATGAACAATTTTTATTAATATGGAGAAGATGGATTGTTTATATTCAAAAGAAGCATAGAGTGGTGGAATATAATTTAGGCTTTTAGAAAAAATTTTCTTTTTTTTTCTTTTATATATTTTACCTACTCATGTAGAATAATATACTTTGTGGAGTTAGAGATACTAATATTTGTTTACTTATATCTGAATATTATCCTGGGATTAGGTTTGTGAAGTCCGGGGGGGTGGGGGGTGGGGGGTCTTTCATATAGCATTGTGTAACATTTGTGATGGTTTTTTTTTATGATGAAAAATAATAAAAATCTTATATTGAAAAAAAAAAAAAAGGCTCAGTTTGTTAAAGTTAAATTAATTGCTTGCAGACAATTTTGCGATCCTTGTTGCCCTTTTGTGGTCAAATAGTAGCTCTAGAAATTTGTTCCATTAAATTATACCTTACCAGTACAAGCAATATTCTGTCTTGGCTCTCTCTTGTGGTCAAATATTCCATTAAAATCAAACAGCTTTAATTCTGATATTATTTCCTGTCCAATCAGAATTCTTTTTCTCCCACAACAAACTTCTTAAAATCACTAGTTATAAAGGTTTTTATTCAAAAACTTCAGGCAAAGTCAATGTAAAAGGAATAGACTCCTCAAAAATGTTTAAGTCATTATGTTTCAAAAATGTGAAAATAGTTTTAAGCTTCGTAATTCTGGTTCATCTCCATTATCTTTCCTCCCTGCCATTTTAAAATCATGGAGCTTCTATAATGATGCAGTTTGAAAAAAATAAGCAGGCTGCAGCAAAAAAAAGTCCCCTTTAAAGTAGAAAAAATCAACAAAATTAAATGCCTAAGAGATGGAAGACACAATTTATTGTCCATTTTAAAAATAATTAAAAATCTCTGATTCTTCCATAGTAATCTTGCTTCTTGGTTGCCTGCCCCTAGCTGAAGACTAACCGAGTCTATTCACGCTGCTCCAAAGTTTTCCACAGGAACCCAGATACCCAGAGAATTGAGACAGGAAAGTTTCTTCTTCAGTTGCCAGGTGCCCATATTTTGATCACATGACTGTGGGGATGTTTCAACAGTTGTAAGTTTAAGAACCAGTTATAAGTAAGTCATTTTTCAGTGCTGTTGTTACTTCAAATAGTCACTAAAGAAATGGTTTAGGACAAACTGTATTTGCATCCAATTTGCTTAGTAAAATTGTCTAAATCTTATTCCTTTTTAAAAAGAATACCCTGCTCATCATGGATTTATTATTTTTTAAACTTTTATCAGTTTTTTCCCCAAAGAAATGTTTACAGCTTCAGAACAGATTTTTTTCCCCTGCTAGGTTATAAGTGATAGGAATGGAGTCTAAAACATTGACAATCTTTTCTTTAGTATATCTAGCCATGTCAGAGCAATTCCTTAAAGATCCCCATTTCATTATGATGATTTTAAAATCCCTTCCATACCGAGGAGGCTAAGATTTAAGAGGTTTTCAACTTTCTGGTCCAAAAACCTAAGACTTTGGGGTTTTAAAAACTGATTAATATTGGCCTTTAAAGTTCTCTGTTACAAAATTTATTAGTTTATCAGAATATAAAATACAAAGAAAATTTTAACAAATGGGAAACTAGGGGAGAAAAAAGAGAAAGGAGAAAGAATGGACTAGAAGGGAAAAAAAGGTGTTGACTTTCGATAATAAAAATAGAGCATCAGCTTTTTACCTTTATGTAATGATTACTAGCCATTTCTAATCAGCACAACCCCATCTAATCAGCAAAATCAAAATTTCATTTTTTATCACAATCACAAAATCCAGAAGTAATTTGCAAATGGAAAGAAGATTAGGTTCTTTTTTTAAAATAAAGCAATCGATTTAACTGTCTCTACTTTTTTTCCTTTGTTGTGGGAAATAATATATATTTCTGTTTGTACTTATTAATCTTTATGAACTATCATTTATATTAACCAAATTTATTAACTGTCTCAGGTTCTTTAACTTTAAAGGAGAAAAACCTTTTGTTTAAACCCATTTTAAGACTCAAGACTTTTCTTTGAAAATATTTCTAAAATCAATAAATTTTAGTACATCATTTTTTACTTCCTCCTAACATTTATACCTTCAAATTCACTTTCAATAGAATTTACAAATTTTAAGAATTACTTAAGCATTGTATGTATAAAAAATGTTCAAACCCACTATATAAACACAAAACTACATTAGAATTCCTTTCAATTACATATATCAGATTTGTAAAGAGCTGCCCTAACTCCAGTTGCTTCATTAAGTTTAAGTCACTCCCTTTCACTTATCCTCAGAGAACAAAATTTTATGCTTCTCTGGAATGACTGTCAAATCTCTTTTTCTCAAAGAATTTTCATCCTTGTTAGTATCCCTGAAGAAAAAGTCCCAAACTTGTCCTCTTGAGAGTTGTGGATTTACTTGGAACATTTGTTTCAGTTGCACTGGGAGGGTTGGATTTAATGCACCATCATAATAAAGATTGGTGTCATATTTGTATTCCATAGTTGCAGTTAAGTCATTTACATCAGAATTCCCCAACCTTTTCAGGTTGGCGGCTCGGGGGGGGGGGAGAGGAAAAGAAGGGATGGTTTTGTGGGAGGGGCAGGTGTGTGTGTGTGTGTGCATGCACACGAGCACCAATTGGCCACTGGGCCGTGTGAGTGACTTGCCGGTGCATGAGTGTGTGCGCACGCATACAGACCCACTTGTGCGAGTGTTGCCGATGTTTGTGGCCTTGCTCACATGAGCAGGGCCATGAGCACTTGTGCAAGTGGGGCTGCAAGCACCCATGACACTCATGGTTCTCATGGGGTTGCAAACACCCGCAACACTTGTGGCAACACTCATGCAAGTGGGGCTGCAAACACCCATGATGCTCGTGGCAATGCTCGCGCAATGGGGCCACAAATGCCTGTGACACTCATAACATTTCTTGTGCAGGCAGGGCTGCAAATGCTGGCGACCAATAGACGACGGCCCAGTAGTGGGCCGCAACCCACAAGTTGGGGACTCCTGCTTTACATTGTCAGGTTTTTGTGAAATTGTATCAGTGATTTGATACCTTTAATACATGATTGCACCTCTTGCTCTTCTTTTATATCATCTACAATATATCTTCCTTCATGACATCCTTAGAACATAATTGGTCTATAAAGTAAATTAGTTTATATAAAAATATGCTTGTTTTTAACCATTTTCTTAGCTCCCTCTTGTGGTCAAAGAATATTTTTTTTTATAAAGTAGTTATTGATTCCTAGCCAGAGTTCATAAAAACTGAAAAGTTTCAGTCACCCACAATAAAGCAATTCAAATCAACAGATTACTTAAGTATAGTAAAATAAAGTCACAGATTTCCATTATGTTTCTTCATCAAATTTTTTAAAAAACGATACTCCATACTTATTTTAGCATGCCTTCAGCAACCCTCTTCCTTGTTATAACAATAAAGTCTCAAAAATGGTGCATTTAGTCACAGCAGACTGACTAAAACAAGCCTCTTTTAGCTAATACAGATAATCCCATAAATTAAGAAATGAAAGACACAAATTACTGTCTGAAAAATAAATTCCAAAATGGCTTCTTTTTCAACAATGAAGTGATTCAGCCCAACCCCCAGCTGAACGGCTTACCAGCTGCTCCGAAGCACAGTTCCTGAAGCTTTTTGCAGACTACTGCTATCTGGAGGATCTTCTGGGGTGATTCTAGGACTGTCTCTTACCAAGGAGAATCATATAAACTAAAGGAATGCCCTTTTCTTCTGTTATTAAGTTGAAAAAAATACCATTCCAGAGAGACAAACCTCCCTGGGCATTTATCATCCGTCCACTATGGTCATAGGAAGCCCTTTAATATTTGCCATTAAAGTTGTCTGGATGTTCTGTTATTTCAGAGTCTCCTGCTTCAGACTCAAGGTAACTACTTTCTTCCCGTCAATCATATCAGTCAATCCTGAAACATGTTAAAGAAAGGGAGAATATTTTGGTTAGAAAATATGCAAAAATGGTTTGCAAAATAATATATTAGTATTATAATATTCAACATCTGTAATAAAATGATTCTGCAATGTAATCTCATACTTGCTTCTTAGAAGTAGGATTTGGAAGATGTCATGAAAAAAATGCCCTATCTTTCTTAGGCATAAATATATTTTAACTTATTGTAGTATCAGTAATCAAGCAGGGATTATACTAAAGCAAAAACTTTAGATTTTGACAATTGGAGATTATTATCTGTTTCAGAAACCTATCTATAGGCAAATATGTAGCAATTTGAAACCAGAAAAGCTAGCTTAGCATCTCACTTTCCCCATAGATTGCAGAGCAGTTATATTCAGTCATTTGGACTGTAACAGTAGACATCCGTTTAAGGCCAAATGGAATAGTGTGTACTTATATCATATAGCTTCCTGTTCATTGTATGTTTTACTGTAAATTTTGTTGTGATTTATGGCTGACATTCAGTTGTTCCCTTATATATTGTTCTGTGATTATAATATTTTTGCCTTTTATTTGAATGCATCCACCCCCGCAAGCCAGGTACTTCATGATGTAATGTTTTCTTCTCTTAACAGAACAGTCCTGAGGAGGAGACTGAATTAAAGAAATTAAAAGTTTTGGAGAAAGCAGTGGAACAGCTTGCTAAAAAAATAGATGAAGTAAATAAAGAGCTTAGAGAGATTCAGAAAGTAAGTTACTTTACATTTCAATAGTTAATATATATTTGTAAAAGTCAGGGATAGATTTTTCAATTTAGAATCTGACAAAATCTAGCAAAATATATGGTCAAAAGTATCTCTATATGAATATGAAAATGAATTTTGTTTAGAATGATTGCTATATAATATGTAGGGCTCTGGAGGTATGACTCTGAGATATGTGTAGGTGTAACGCAGATCATGCATATTTTAGTCTAGAATTGTGATAGATTTAATCTAACTGAGATTTGGGAAGGTGCTTCCAGTAAGGGAAGAGTGATATGTCTTTGTCTATGAGTGTTATTAACATTATAATAGAGCCTATATCTGAAAGTAACTCTCCCAATTAATGGTGCGGAATTGTAAGACTATGTGTGATCTGTACATGTGATATTGGGGAAGGACTGTATAGATTCAGAGTTGATGTAGAAGACAGCCAGCTTGTTGATGTAGAAGACAGCCAGCTTGTAGGGAGAGAAGAAAATATGAGAGAATAGAAGCCTGCACATGAAGGAAGTTTGAGTATGTGATGTTGATGAACAAATGTAAGTCAATGGTGTATCATGCTTACTGAGGTATATTAGTAAATGTCATTTATATTCATATGAGTCAGTGCTTTTCTCCATAGAAAGTTGGACACATATTGCCTGTTGTATACATGGAATTACAGAATTATGGATATTATAGGAACATAGCTCTTACAGCTATAATAATAAAAATGCCTATTCCAATTAACTTATGAATAAGCATAATGTAAACAGTGTATTTTTCATATAGGATTTTCTTGCAAAGAATAATCAAACTGAAGCTCTTAGTCAGTTGGATAAGCGGATAAAGGGAATTGCTGAGCAGTTTATGAAAATTCTGGAACAAATAGATGCTATTGTAAGTAAATAATGACAACATATTGTGGTTAACTGAAAGAAATCTCAGTTCTTTAATTTTAAATGATGTTGATATCAGAGTTATTAAGTGTGGTTAATCATAATGGTCAACATAAATAAATTTATAATAATTACTATAGTGATATAATACTTTGTCATAGAGGTTACCAACCTTCAATGATCTAAGTAGTTCCCCCACCCCAACAAAATCTTCTGAATTGTTAAAAGACTTTTAAATCCACAAGATTTGCTGAACTTCATATCCAGATTTTTTGAAGTTTTGTGGAATGTCAAATTCTCATGAGATTTTGGCCATTTTATTTTATTTTATTTTCAATTGAATTCTTGGTGTTTATGGACATGATTTTGGAAGATAAGCCATGGCTTTATAGGTGTCTTATAACCAAATCTTGATGTTTTAAATCACGGGTGTGAAACTCGATCACATCTCATGACGTATTGTGACTTTTTTGACTTTGTGGAGTCAGGGTGGGCGTGACCTGCGCGTATGCATTCGGCCTATGGGCCGCCAGTTTGATACCCCTGCTTTAAATCATTAGTTGTAAAATCTCCCTTTTGAGAAAACTGCATTTTATTAGTTAAGTTTAATGTTAGCCATTTTTAATGCAGACTGTCAAGCCCTCAGAGGCTGGAAAGCTCAGGAAACAAGAATCCCTTGGATTTCTGGAAATATATTTATTGCTGGTAATATAACATTACAGAATTTTAAAAGCTAATCAAAATAATTCTCCTACATTCAACTGTAACTAGAGTGAGTTTCTTTTTTCCTCTTCTCTAGACTCAAACATCTTTTCTATAATGGCTTTGTTTCTTCCCTAAATTGTTTTGCTTCTCCCTCACTGTTCCCAAACTCTATATCTCAGGAATTCATGGCCACCATGATGGCCATGGATCGATCACAAGACATCCATGGCCTGACTCTACATGGTCGTACTCCAGATATAATCTTCATGTTGGAGCAGTGGCAACGTGACCTGATGGGGGATCTGTCAATATCCCCTTTTTCATGGTCAGACCAAGCCCTGATGATTTTGAGATTCTCTTATACTGCCCCCCACTGTGGGGAGCACTAGACTTATTCATATGGTCTGTCTCGGTGACTGATGAATCCACTTGGGTTCCAAAGAGAGCTGGGGGAGATCCCAGAGACATTGCTGTATGCTCTTGTGGAGCCTTTGGCTGCAACCTGGAATCAGAGAACATCTGAAGTCCTGAACAGAATTGTACTTATGTGCCTTCCCCTGGCACATCAGCCCCAACACTCCCGATGGTCCACAAGGAACTGAAAAGAGTTGACAACAGAAGTAACATTGGTGGAAAACAAAGAATGAATCCAAACACATACTAAAACTGTGATTAAGGCGTACCTTGTGCAATAAAAGCAGTGAAATATCAGTATTTCTCTGCACATTGCATCCACAGAGTGTCACCCATTGGCCTTGTTCAGGGCATCTGGTCCCACTTTGGGGAAAGGTCTCAGACAATCATCTTCAGGGCCTCACAGAAGAGTTTGTGCAATACTTGATGGATAAAATCACTCAGATTCACTCTTGATTGGAGTCCAAGTGTGGTGTAATTCCATTTGAAATGCCCAGGGAATGGATTTACCCTATTATATGGGAGCAGTTTGATGAAGTAGATAGGATCTTTGGGACTGTCAGTGCAATTACATGCTTATTTGATCTCTGTCCCTCTTGATTATTGAAAACTTCCAGAACAGTGAATTCTGGGTGGGTGCAAGGAACAGTTAAAGCATCACTGCAGGAGGGGAAGTTCCTGACATCCTTTAAAGAGGCCATGGTCTGTCTCTCCCTTACGAAGCCATCATTAGACCCTACTGTACAAGTAATCCTCGAGGTACGAACCTTATGGAGCCTGCCCATTAGGCTCATAAGTCAAAAAATTCATCAACTGAATCAGATTCAATTTTACAAATTTTTTAAATCAAATTCATTAATTGAATGAAATGGGTTGTTAAATGAACAAAGACCTGACTTACAATTTTCTCCAATTTGTTAATTGATCGCTGCCACGTTCAGTTAAGTTAATTGAACTGAGAGGCTTTCCTGCCGGCCGCCCATTAGCTTTTTGGGGTGCAGCCAGCTCAGGAACTAAATTGCCTCCAAGCTGGGCTTGCAGCCATTGCAATTGTTTTTTTGCTTTTTTTAAAAAAACAACTGCTGCTATTGTAGTTAGCTCAAGCATTTTCAACTGCCCAGAGCAAGTGCTTAAAAAAAAACACAATCACTTGCCACTAATTAGCTTAAGAGTCTCCAGCCAGGTACACAAAGGGAGATGGGGGAGGGATTTGCAGAACTCTCAGGTTGCAACAGTAATAGAGATGGAAGGGACCTTGAGGTCCTCTAGTCTAACCCACTGTTTCCCCAACAAAGAATTTCTGATAAATGCCTATCCAGTCTTGGCTGGCAAATTCAATATTAAAGAAAATCTACGGCCTTGAGATGCCATAAGAGATAAATTTTTATTGAATACACATCCCGGCACTGAAGAAGTAATATCAACTCTAAGTTTCCTGCACAAAATTCTGGTTAGTTACCAATAGCTTTTCATAACCCCCACCCACCATGTGTTCACTGGCTAATTACATTCTTTCTGATTGTTATGGGAACGGTCCACTTCTCTGCCAGACACCTGCTTTGGATGACCTTGGTTCTCACAGTCCATAGATGGCTTTCTGAAACATTCCTTTCCCAGACTATCTCTCCCCCCCCCTTTTCTTTGGCAAGTTGAGCAGCTAATGAAGTTAGCAAGCATCATAACAATTCAACCTTGACACTCTTCTTAAAAGCTTCCAGTGATGGGGCACCAACAACTTCTGGAGGCAATTTAAATTTAAAACCTACAATCTACAGCAATATACACTAATCTCTAAAATAAAAACAAGGAAACACAACATTGTAGAATACTTTGTATAGATCCTGGTTAGTATTCCTACAAGCAGTTTCAAGGAAAATGGAAACAAACTTTATCTTTGAAAATACTGTACTTACAAATACAATAGTTTGCAAATTACAGTATTTAAAAAGTAGAGCAATTGCCAAAGTGCTTGCAGACAGCAAGCACTATAGAATAACAAATATATATATATTTTAAAATGCTTAAAGAAGCAGTCCTGAAGCCCAGACAGCAGCAGATTCTCCACGCAGCACCAAAAAAGCAAAAACAAACTGGTGCCACTCAGCTCTTGTTTGGCCATGTGACCAGGGACCAAAACACACACACACACCCAACTTCAGGAAATTGCATTCGTAACCCGACTGGCCCAGGCAAGTCACAGAGTTAAAAATGGCCACAACTTGCAGCTGTAACTGAATCCAAGTCACATGGCTGCAGAGGCCTCTTTTTGCTCACAATTTTGAATTTCTAATGTAAGTATCCTTTCTGAATAAATTTGTTTTTGTGAAAACTTGCTAAACGAACGTTCGTACTTGGGGGATTACTATACTGGACAATTGTCATCCAGTTTCCCACCTTCCCTTTCTAGACAAGGTGATGGAAAAACTGATTGTGTTGCAGCTCCAGAAGGTCTTGGATGACACAGATTACCTAGCTTCCTTTCAGTCAGGTTTCAGACCTGGTCATATGACAGAAACAACATTGGTCATACTAATTGATGATCTCTGCTGACAGTAGAATAGAGGCAGTCCATCCATTCTTGCTCTTCTTGACCTTTCTGCAGCTTTCGATGCCATCAACCATGGTATCCTTTTGGACCAGCTGCCAGACTTGGGACTGGGAGATACAGTGTTGCACCAATTTAGTTTCTTTCCCCATGACCGGTTACAATCTGAGTTAATAGACTGGTTCTTTGTGAGGTTCCACAGGGCATGGTATTCTCTCCACTCCTTTTTAGCTTCTACATGCTGGGTGAGATCATACAACACAATGGGATGAGATATCATCAATATGCTGATGATACTCAGCTTTACATCTTCACCCCTGGTACCCAAGGGATGCTGTAGCTGCCTTTCACAATACCTGATGGCTGTGGGGGCCTGAATGGGAGACATCAGACTGCAACTGAGCCCTGGTAAAATATGTGGAGCTTCTGGATCCAGATGTTTATCATCTTTAGTTTGGGTGGAGTGGCACTAACCCAGATAGATCCAATCCACAGCTGAGAGTTTCTTCAGTCTAGACTCATAACTCCTGCTCAAAGAGCCGAGGCAATCATAGCTAGGAGAGCCTTTGCACATCTCTGTTATGCGCCAATTATATCCTTTTCTGTATCATGAGATCCTGCACTCAGTCACTTACATCTTGGTCCTCTCCTGCTTGGATTATTGCAATGTGCTGTATTTGGGGCCACTCTTGAAGCGTATTTGGAAGGTATGATTGTCAAAAAGCACAGTGCAGGCAGTTTTAGATGATCCTAGGATGGCATTTGTAACACACTGTTATGTGAGCTGTACTGGCTGCCAATCCACTTGCGGGTGCAATTCAAGATGTTGGTTACTATCTTTTAAAGTCCTTTATGGCATGGGACCATGATTCCTGTGGAATTGTCTTTCCACCATGGGATCAGCTGCTCCACTCGTGCTGACAGAAAGGGCCTACTATGGATCCCGTCAGCCACAGAATTTTGGTTGATGAGATCCAGGAGAAGAGCCTTTTCTGCTATGACTTTTGCTCTTTGGAACTTCTTATTACCTCGTCTCTTTTAAGCCTTCAGAAAAAGCCTTAAAACCTAACTATGCTGGCTGGCTTGGGGTCATGAGGGAGAAGCTGTTGGCTGGAGGTGGTTGGTACATTAACAAAGAAGGTATGCCCCCTCATCTCTAAGCCTATCATTTTAGTTTGTTTTAATTTTTGTAATTTTATAATGTTTTTCTATTTATAATTGTTTGGATATTCGTATATTTTATCTTACTATAAGATGCTCAGTGTTATCTAGAATTTCAAGATGGGCAGCAAATAAAGGGTCTGGAACAATTCTTCACAGCCATATGACCCTGCCCATTTCACCCTGGATTTTCCAGCACGGCTGACCCACAACAGCCCTTTGTGCATGGCTGGTCCTCCACTGGTGATATACCTCCACCACAACTTCTCCGCTGCTTCTCCGAGGCTGCCTAATCATGGCTGATGCATCAAGACCCAAGTCTTCATGACCAGTTCCCCCATGGATGATTAAATGTGCCTCTGGTGCTTCTAACTTCTGGCCCGCTTTTGGTTCGTGCCCGACCACAAGAGGCACAGGGGGCATTAGCAGGAGCGGTGCTGGAAAGTAGTGGTGATATAAGAGGGGCTGGGGGGCTGCGGTGTAACATTCACCAGCACCATTTGGATGGCAAGGGGAGGGGAATGACAGGCTTTGCCAGCAGCATTTGAATAGCTCAGGGTGGGAGATGAAGAGAGTGGCTGAAATGTACTATTCTTATGACCAGGATCTGTAATCTGTTTTTCCAGCGAGATATACATACCAACATGCATACCCCTTCCATGGGTTTAAATTAAACATTAATGCTTAATCGTGTTTCATTTGTTAGTTTGATTGGGATGAACTTTGGGATTGGCCATGGAAAGATGTGTGTGTTGGTGTGTGTCTCTTGCTGGAAAGGTAGGTTTCAGGTTGCTGCTGGCTTACTTTAAAATGATTCTCAATTTCCCATTGTTTTTTCTTTCTGGCTTCCTTTTTGTCAAAGTTCAGCAGCTGTGATGGATTCTGGTAGCCAACCAACTGGGAGGAGCTCTCTCTCTCTCTCTCTCTCTCTCTCTCTCTCTCTCTCTCTCTCTCTCTCTCTCTCTCTCTCTCTCTCTCTCTCTCTCTCTCTCTCTCTCTCTCTCTCTCTCTCTCACACACACACACACACACACACACACACACTCTGTTGGAGCTGTGGCTCCCTTCCTGCCAACCTCCCCCACCCAGCATTTAATCTGCTCTTGCTGGGATGGTGATTGCCCCCTTTTTTCAAGGCAGCTGTTAAGTTTCCCCCCTCCCCCAGTGCAAAGAACTTCACAGTGCAAGGAAAAACAAGTGCAAGAGATGTTTCAGGTGTGGAAAATAAAAGAAGGAGCAGTTTCTGAATGAAGAGATATATTGGGTCAGGGGGAAGAGGCATATTGGGAGGGCGTGTTTGGTAGCATGGGATTGGGGCCCCAGTAGAGCTGCATGGGGGTCAAATACTCATTCTTCAAACTAAGGGGATGGTGGCACATAGGAGGCTACCCATTGTGCCTTATGCCTACATGCATACGTTTTGACCTTCCCTCCCTGCCCCTAAACTAATAGATTTTTCCTCATGTTGTGTGAGAATTTAATGCCCAAAATGTGGTAATATCACTGCTGGCAAAGCCTCTCTGTTACACACACACACCCATCATCCAAATGCTGCTGTCAAATGTGACACTGCAGCCCCCCAGCACCTGCTAAAACACTGCTGATTTACAGCATTGCCAATGCCCCCATGCCTCTCCCCATCAGGCACATGCCAAAAGTGAGCTAGAAACGCCAGAGGCACATTTAATCGTCCTCTGGGGGAATTGACTGTGAAGACTTGGGTTACGATGCATCAGCCATGATTAGGCAATCTTGGAGAAGCAGTGAAGTTGTGGTGGCGATATATCAGCCATGGACAAACGGCTGTGGTGGGTTAGCCAGGGTGAAATGGGCAGCGTCATGTGGCCATTTGCTGGTCCATTCTGGCAAATAAATTTCATAATGCTGCATTATTAATTTTAAAAAAAGTTTTGACTCCATTTCTGGAGAAAAGTTGTGTAAAAATAATTAGAAGCTTCAATTGATATTAATAAACTCCTGCTGGCATTCATAAAAATATTGCTTACTAACATATATATTTAATTAAGGCTTGACCATTCAGGTCAGCTTTCTGCTGTGGCACTTATCTTCAAGATGTTAAACAAGAGTATATTTTAAATCTTTTGCTGTTTAACTTCTACATCAAAGAAATGAGGGAAAACCCTATACCTCCAAAACATCAGCCCATAAATCTAACTGGCAGACTTATATCATTATTTTTATATAGAGACAATTCAACCAGTATCTGAACTCTCTACTATCTAAGAGCTCACCATGCACCTTGTGTAGCCCGAGTCCAATAAAGCTAACACCTTCCCCTAGGTGCCCAATGACGGCACAATCAGACTGGAATGGTTACGGGGTTCAAGGGCAACTTACTAGGGGGACATTATTGGAGTCCATGTCGCTCCTCTCCAGTATGGTCAGAGTTCCCTGGTTTCTGTAGCTAGGCAGGGAGAACTCAACGATTTCGAGTCCCTCCACCGTCTTGTGGGCCCTCGGGGTGAGCTTTCCCACTTTCTTCCTAGCGTTGCCATTGGGTTTTGGGGTTGTTTTGGCAAGTCGGCGGCACATTGCCCTTCCCACATTTGAAGCAGCCAATGAGTTGGCGTATGGGCATCCAGGTGTTCTTGCGGCATCGTTCTCCAGGGGGGAGGAACAGTGCCATCCGTGGGCGTTGTGGCTGTGACTCCTAGCCAAGTTGATTTCCACCTCCCCAGCTAGTACATACCACTGGCGTAGAGTGCAGGGGGCTCCCCGTGAGATGCAGGTGTTGTGTTACATATTGTTGAGCCCATCTTAGAAGCATTCTATCAGGATGTCTTCGGGCTAATTTGCTAACTGGCAGGCCAGCTTATGGAACTCTTGATTGTAAACTGTCACTCCCCTCTGGTCCTGGTTGATGGTTTTGATGCAAATTTGTGCTTTGTGCTAGGGCGAGTGGATTTCTAAATTAAAATTAAAAATGAGTAAATTGAAGAATGTTTTAAGTATCATGTTTTAAGTCTTATGTTGGTATATAACCTCACTCATCTATCCAAAAGGAAACTGTAAATGATACAATATTTTCCAAGAAACAAATTGCAGATCTTTCAGTGGAAATGAAGTGATAGTGAAAAGGATTTTCATTAAACTAATATATCTATTGGGAACAAAGTCAGTTATGCCCCTTCTTGGAGATTCCTGATCTGTCCTATGAACAACTTCTTCCTTCAGAGGGTAAAGAAAGGCATCAAGTGAAGAATAGTTTAGATCTAACTATACATGAAGTGGAACATCAAAAGAATTATTGATTTTAAGGAAAACTATGCTACAGGAGGCAAGCTTTTCCATTGATTAATTGTTCTCCTTAGTTCCTAGCTGTATCTCTCTTAATGAGCTTCTACCCAATGCTTCTTCTCCCATCCTCAGGAGCTTTGGAGAATAAGCAGCTCCTCATGTACTGGGAGGCAGCTATCATATCACCCCTAATTTTTCTCTTCAAATTTGCAGACATATCTAGCTCCCTTAATCATTCCTCATATGATTTGTCCTGCAGACTCCTTACCTTTATAGGTCTTCTCTGCACTCTTTCTAGGGTCTCAGCATCTTCACTATATCATGGTGATCAGATTTGAATGTATTCCAAGTGTAGCCTCATTTGTACAGAATTAAGCAGTACTATCACTTCTTGTGTTCTTGATACAGTCCTTCTGTTGATGCAGCCTATGATTGCATTGTCTTTTTTGGCAGCTGCACATACTGCTGACTCATACCTAAGTGGATGTCCATCAGGACACCTAGATTTCTCTCACAGTTACTACTGGTGAGCTAGGTCCTATTCTGTGTATTTGATTTTTCCTGTCTAAATGCAGGACCTTACAGTTCACACCACTGAACTGCATCTTGTTGGCTAGGGCCCAATGCTCAAGTCTGCCAAGATGTTGAATCTATCCTCCAAAGTGTTAGCAATTCCCCCCAAGTTAATGTCATCTGCAAATTTGATGAGTCCCTCTTTCTATTCCCTCATCAAGATTATTTATGAAGATGTTGAAGAGCACTGACCCCAAAACAGAACCTTGAGGTACCCCACTGTATGTCTTTCTCTGTATAGATGTAGTTCCATTGAGGACTACATGCTGAGTGCAATTAATCAGCCAAATGCAAATTCATCTGATGGTGGTACTATTTATCCCTCACTGTTATACCTTACCAAGAAATAGTCTGTGTTCTACTTTGTCAAATGCCTTATTGAAAGATATTATATCTACAGCATTTTCCCTGATCCACTAATTTAGTCATTTTGTCAAAGAAGGTAATACGTTTTGTCTGGCATGATCTGTTTTTAACCCATGACGGCTTCTGGTTCATTTCTAGATGCTCACAAATTCAGTGTTTATCTTTTCCAGGAGTTTCCTGAATATTGATGTCAAGTTTTTTGGTCTATAGCAGCGGTTCTCAACCTGCGAGTCGCGACCCTTTTGGGGGTCGAACAACGCTTTCACAGGGGTCGCCTAAGACCATCGGAAAACACATATTTCCGATGATCTTAGGAACCGAGACACCGACGCCACCCTCCTCCTCCTCCTCCTCCTCCGGCTCCTCCGCCTCCAGGGCGCCCTTCTCCTCCAACAGCGCCTGCTCCTGCCGCCGCAGCGCCATCGCGCGCGCCCCCGACGCCACCCTGGGCTGGCTCAGCTGAGTGGGCAGCCGAGCCAAGCCAGGTCTTGGCGGCTGCTGGCGCTGCCGCTGGGCTGCTCCGCCGCTGCCGCCGCTGCTGGCTGAGCTGAGCTGTGGCGACAAGCCGGTCTCCACGCCTCCTGGTTGCCCGGCCGCGCTCTGCCCCTGGCCGCACTCCGCACTGTGCAGGAGCCTCCCCCGTGCCGCCCGGCCTGCCTCCCTCGCCGTCGGAGGCTACCTCGGCCCCATGGGGGTGCCGGGCAGGAGTGACTCCTTCCCGGCTCTCCGGGCTCCGGGCCTTAGAAGCAGCCAGGGGGCGGGGAAGAGGGTGAGGCGGTGGCGATGCCCGCATATGCATCGGAGGCCAGCCGGCCGGGCTGGGAGGGGAGAAGTGGTGCCTTCTGAGCAGGAGCTGGCGCTCCGGCCGCGTCCCTGCGTGCGATGGGCTGCGCAGCGTGGAAAGGGGCTCCTGCGACCTCGCTGCTGTGATGGTGCTCAGGAGGCTGGAGGGGCGGGCAGGTCCCGGGGGGCGGCTGGGAGAGGGCAAGAGGTGCCGGGATGAGGATGGGGGGCTCCAGGTTGGCGGGTGTGAGAGGGCAGCCGGCGGCTCCGAGGCGCGTGGATCCTTCGCGCAGCTTCCGAGGCCCCGGATGTGCCGCTTCTTGGCTCTCCACCAGGCTCTCCACCAGAGCATCCCCCCCCTCCCCGGGCAGTTGTGCGGAGCTGCTTGTGCGCCCTTGGCAGTGCCTCCCCCCTTCAATCTCCTTCCTTCTCCATCTCCTTCCTTCCTTCTCCATCTCCTTCCTTTCCCCTTCAATCTTTCTTCCTTCCTTCCTTCCTTCCATCTCCATCTCCATCCCTTTCCCTTCAATCTCTCTCTCCTTCCTTCCTCCTTCAATCTCCTTCATTCTCCATCTCCTTCCTTTCCCCTTCAATCTTCCTTCCTTCTCCATCTCCATCCTTTGCCCTTCAATCTCTCTCTCCTTCCTTTCTTCCCCCTTCAATCTCCTTCCTTCTCCATCTCCTTCGTTTCCCCTTCAATCTTCCTTCCTTCCTTCTCCTTCCCTCCCTCCCAACATTTTTGAGCAAGGAAGAGTAAGCTTCTCCAGCGAGCATTGCTATATTGTTTTTGTGATTAATCACTATGCTTTAATTATGTTCAATTCGTAACAATGAAAATACACCCTGCATATCAGATATTTACATTACTGTTCATAACAGTAGCAAAATTACAGTTATGAAGTAGCAACGAAAATAATTTTATGGTTGGGGGTCACCACAACATGAGGAACTGTATTAAAGGGTCGCGGCATTAAGAAGGTTGAGAACCACTGGTCTATAGTTTCCTGGAACCACTTTTTCCCCACTTTTATAAAATGGAAGCATAACAGCTCTTTTCCAGTTCTCTGGTATTTCCTCAGTACTCCAGAAGTTCTGAAAGATTTTATTCAGTACTTTGGAGATCACATCTGCCACCTTCTTCAGAAACTTGATGTAAACCATCTGATCCTGGCAATTTGAACTCATTTAGAATAGATAAGTGTTTTTTTACCAGCTTCTTGCCTATTTTGACCTGCGTTCTTGTTTTATCTCCCAAGATTCTGCTTTTGGTAGGTTGGACTATTTTTTTTCTTTTGCATGAAGACAGATGCAAAAAAATGAATTAAGCAGTTCTGCTTTCTCCCTGCCTCTTGTCACCTTCTTGCCATTTTCTCCCATTAGTGGACCAATAATGTCCTTGATTATTTTTCTTCTTCCTTACATATTGAAAGAAACTTTTTTGTTATTTTTGGCATTTGTTACAGGTCTTAGTTCAAATTTTGTCATTTGTCATTTGTTGTAAGTCTTAGATCAAGTCTTAATATTAGTGTTGAAAAAAACAAAAATATAATTTGGAAGGGACATGTCTGAATTGCAAGACAGGTACTTCCATTGAGTAAAGGAGACCTTTTTCCATTTATAAATACAAAGGCAAAAGACTAATACTAAGAAAAAGAAAAAATGAAAACTGCAGAGAGAAAATCAACAAAAATAAGAAAAAAGATATGTAAAGAAATGATACCTGCCTTCTACCTATTGTAAAAACTTAACATTCAATCCTAACCAGCAAATGTCCTTCAAAGGCAAATGAATGAACAAATGAATAAATGAATTTTAACCTTAATCAAATAAATCCACTTTGAATATCCAACTTATCACTTTATCTAAGAAATAAAGCAAAAGAAATCTTTTATCTGTTATTTATAAACAAATCTTAAAGCTTGGTCAGTCTTGGTCAAATAAAAATTTGCATTAATAGCTATTAAAAATTACAACATATATATTTTAACCCTGGTCAAGTATGTCTATTTTATATTCCTTCCATTTTTAAAAAAGATTCATATTTAATGCCTTCAAATAAGGTCTGAAAAGTTGATTCTTTATCTTTTTCTCTTCATCTCCTCTCAGGAACTCCTTCACTAGTTCTCTTTTGTAAATCCATGGTAAGAAAGATTTAAAGTTCCTTTTCTCATTTATTATTTGTATGATTCCCTTTATTTGTAATCCCCCAAGCATCCAGAGCTCTAAAACTTGCCACATATTGCTATTTTCTGGTCTTTTTATGAGAACTCTCTTTATGGAGCAAACTTGTAGTGATTATAGTCCTCTCCTGAGAAAAGTTCTGAAGAGTTGATCCATTCACTGGCTCCTCTTATCACTAAGGTTCTAACTCCATTGTTTTCCTGGAAGGACCAAATCTCACCAAATTATTAATTATCTGAGGAGACAGACCAGTGTTGGGGAAAAAAAACAGATCCCGTTCCAGTTCCATGCTGGGAATAAAATGGAGGCTGTTTAAAAAAGAAGGTTTCTGTTTATTGACGAGCAGAATCATCAACAGCATGCAGTTCTGGGACAGCTAACAAAATGGAGTTGAGAGTGGGTGGGTTTTTATACCTTCTTTGGGCTTTGTATTTGAGATGCCTGTTCCTGTGCAAGGAATTTGAGATGCCTGACCTGTGCATGAGCATGCCCTTTTGGTATTCTAATTATTGCTGCCCGACTCCTATTGTGGCTGGGAGGTCATTTCCTGTCCTTGGAACTGGGTGGGGAAATGTAAATTCTTAATCCCATCAGCTGTGGGGGCTGAAGGCATTTTGCTTATGAATAGTGTGCCTCAGTTTTTCTGAATGGATTACCAAATCTCCATTTCTAAAAACTTCAAGCTCTTCAGGTTTCCTGCAGCAGGAAGACTGGGGCAGCTTTCTGTCTTTGTTAAGATTTTTTCTCCTTTAGGGGAAACATTCTATCCTGCCTCATTTTAATTTTCCCGAAAATATTTCATTCTCTGGGGGGGGAGTACTGACTTTCTACAAGTCCCCAGTTTTGTGCTAATTCAAATATTTTCTGAAATATTTGTATTTTGCACAATTTTAGGTCCTGTCTGAGTAGACTTGGTATTTGTTGTCTTTTTGGCTCATCATTAAAGGATACCCTTTACTTGGGTGTCTGTTGAGATGGGAAGTGATTTTGCAGGCTACTGGGACAAGGGAAAATACACTGGTCGAAGAAGCAGAGAATCAATCCTATGATGGTTATCACTGTGGCTCCCAAAAGAAGAGCTTCCAGCCAGTGAAGGTAGAAAGAAAAATTATTGGATCCAATATTTTGTGCAAATTCTTTTAGATGTTTGATTCACTTTCTGTGAGCTTTCAGTCAGGTTTAAAGCAAGCACATGCCCCAAAATTCTTCACAGTCATGGTTTTGCCATAGCAAATAATTACTGGCTACCCATTTTCAAGGGTTGCTTCCTAAACCTGCCTTAGCTCTTAATTTAGTGCATGCAGGGTTTATGATGTAAAATTGAGGTTAGCCAGTGTGCAAGCCAAGCTATTAATATTTCTTAAATTGCACATAGCGAGCCCGAGGACTCCCACTAATGAGACCACCAGTGCAACATATTCTGCCTTACTAGGCAATATCATTTATGAGTCACAATCAGGGCTTGGGGTTTGGAGATCTTTTTTCTGCTACCTCCTCAGTGTGGGCATGCCCCCCCAATGGAATTTGCAGGAAGGTATGCATGCATAGGCCTTAGTGCCAAGGAGCAAGAGCTGGCCTTGGAGAGCTTTATACAGAGGTAGATGAAGCCTTAGTGTGGTTCTGGTTGTGTGTGTGTGTGTGTGTGTGTGTGTGTGTGTGTGTGTGTAGTTCTACAAGGCAGGTAATACAAACATCCTTCACATATCTCCCTCCCACTAAACAGAAGTCCAAGGTGTTCAGACTTCCTCTGCCAAACACTCCCAAATGCCATCGCTCCATGAATCCATTCAACTGGCTAATTGCAACATAAATGAGGCAAGAAAGAAAACCTTACAATAAGTTTCCACCTTCCCCCCATAGTTTTTCCAGTTGTCTTCTGAGGCTTTACGTGGGGCCAATGGATCCATACGTCCTTCTTTTCTCTGCAGCTTTCACAGGCATCTAGGTGATATAGAACCTGGGAAGATCTGTTCCACTCTGGTTGCAGGGTGACTTTCTAGTGGATGGCTAGATCCATACCCAATTCCCTGGCTCAAATGAATGGAGGGTCTCCTCTGGAGGCAGCGTCTAGGTCATGTGTTCTTCTTCCAAAGGTTGTGGAGTCATCTGTGCAGGGTTGAATGATATGAGAACAGGGTCCCCTCCCCCTTTGTGGATGACCCTCCCAGAAGAGGCATTGTTGGTCTGACATAGGAATGGAGAACAGAAAATAAGAGATGGGAGGTAGAGTGGGATGGGTAGCTTGCAGGCAGGGTTTAAAAAGACATTCATACTACAGTTGTTAAAGAAACAGATGAGACCAGTCACAACAAAATGGGAACACCACAGATGAGGAAAAAGAGAAGCTGGATTCTGGTAATAAGGCAAAAGATGTCTGCTGATGAAAGAACAAGAAAAGAAGAAGGATGTAACATCTGAAACTGAACAAATGCAACATAAATTTTGTAAAGCACATGTTAAGCAGTACTTAAGGACTGGCAGCTTGAGAATGCTGGGGAGCTTGAGAATGCTTGGGTGTCCTCCTGGATCCACGGCTGACACTGGAAGACCATTTGTCGGCCGTGACCAGGGGGGCGTTTTATCAGGTTCGCCTGATCCACCAGTTGCGTCCTTTTCTGGACCGGGACGCTCTGCGCACGGTCACTCAAGCTCTCGTCACCTCCCGCCTGGACTACTGCAATGCCCTCTACATGGGGCTCCCTTTGAGGAGCACCCGGAGACTTCAACTGGTCCAGAATGCGGCCGCGCNTAATTGGAACACAGCTTCGAATATTTGGTTTTAATTTGGTTTTAGAGGGGTTTTTATTTTTATTGATATGTGTATCTGTTTTAATATGCTGTGCACCGCCCTGAGTCCTGCGGGAGAAGGGCGGTATAGAAATTAAAATAATAATAATAATAATAATAATAATAATAATAATAATAATAATAATAATAATAATAATAATGCTGAAAGTTCCAAATAATTTTATAATCCTAATACTTTAATGTGTACAAATTGCCAGAGGCAGGAGAGTCTACCTTTGACATTTGATGGCATTTGGCCTGGCATTATCAATACACAATTTAGATGAAAAGACATTATTTTAGAGATTGAAAAAAATGCTTATATGTTCCAGGTTTAGTTCCATAGTAATTTTACTGACTACTGAAAGGATAAGAAAAGTAACTTAAGAAAAAAGTTATTTCCCTGCAGGCCCAAACTTGAGCTCGTGAAGCTCCTGTGGGTGGACATACCTCATGTTTCAGGAAAAGGATAGACAGATAAAACCCATTTACAACACTTACAGAAAATGCACAAATAAAAAATTTCCTCTAAATGAGCTTAAAACATTCCCTCCTGACAACCTTGGGCTGTTCTTAAAGGTACAGAGGAGAGGAATAAGGGAACTCAGTTCTCTTCACCCTATTTTGCTGGCCAGGCAAACTAATGTGAAGGTATTTCCTTTAGTGGCTTATTTTAACATTTTTTCCTAGCAGAATTGAAAATTCTTTTCTCTAGAGGTTAGAGACATTTAACAGTTACATGTACCTAACAGATAAATATATACATAAAAAGACAAGGGAAAGAAAAGGGAAGGAAAACAGAACTCTCAAGTTTACACATCCTGGTCATTCCCACTATAAATCTCAGTTAACTCAAATTAGGGAAGGCAAAAATCTTAACAAACATAATAAGTGGTTGCATAGAAAAGAAAGAGAGAGGTAAAAAATCAATGTTCCTAAGTCTCTTTATAAACATCCGCCCTGCCTGAGGTTTTCAAACCAAAAAGGAGTCTGGGAGGACTTCTGCAGTAGTACGGGCACCTCCTACTGAATAGACCTACTTGGTGACTTCCCAGCTGGTTGCCCAGGTCCAATTCTCTCACTCACTTTTCTGTTCCATTTTCACACAACCTCTACCTTTTCCCTAACAAAAGATCCTATGCTCTGGCCAAACCCCCTTGCTTTCCAGGATCTGTCAGTTGAACAGATCTTTTTGTGACTAGGAAAGACATAGAGGGAGAAGGATCCAGCTGTGATTGGGAGAAGGTTCCTTTTGCTCACACAGACAGGCATACAGACATTTCCCTCGCTCCCCTGGGCTTTAAAGGTTAAAATTTAGAGGTACTCATCTTCTTTCCAAACAGGTTGAGCTCAAAACTTTCTTTACTACCCTTGCTCCAAATGGGCAGGGTCTGGGAAACCTACCCACAGACACAATGGATCTGCTGCCAGCAAGGTGGAGGCTTACCCAGGCCCAGTCCATTGGTTAGATTAGCTTGGAGTCCCATCTGTGGTGCCGGATTGTTGGACAAAAAAGCCAGGTTCAGTTCCAAGCTGGGAATAAAATGGAGGTTGCTTAAGAAAGAAGGTTTCTGTTTATTGATGAGCAGAACCAGCAACAGCATGCAGTTTTGGGACAGCTGACAAAATGGAGTTGAGAGTGGGTGGGTTTTTATACGTTCTTTGGGCTTTGTATTTGAGATGCATATCTTAAAGACAGAAAGCTGCCCCAGTCTTCCTGCTGCAGGAAACCTGAAGAACTTGAAGTTTTTAGAAATGGAGATTTGATAATCCATTCAGAAAAAGTGAGGTACACTATTCATAAGCAAAGTGCCTTCAGCCACCACAACTGATGAGATTAAGAATTTACATTTCCTCACCTAGCTCCAAGGACAGGAAATGACTTCCCAGACACAATAGGAGACAGGCAACAATAATTAGAATACCAAAAGGGCATGCTCATGTCAAAGTACATTGCACAGGAACAGGCATCTCAAATACAAAGCCCAAAGGAGGTATAAAAACCCCCCTATTCTCAACTCCATTTTGTCAGCTGTCCCAGAACTGCATGCTGTTGCTGGTTCTACTCATCAATAAACAGAAACCTTTTTTAAGCAGCCTCCATTTTATTCCCAGCTTGGAACTGAAATTGTTTTTTCTTTCAACACCAGGAAACATAATTATTTCAGTGTTTTCCAAAGAACATATAATCCAGTGAGCTGCAAAATACTATTTTGAGTTGTTGATCAAAATAATATAATTGAGCATGACCTTAGTTTTAAATTAGAGCAAAACCCTGCATGATACAGGATTAATTTCCTGATTGTATCTATTTTATGAAAAAAGCTAATTAAAAATGACTCTATAAAGATGTTTAAGTGGCTGATATTAATATTTTGAAATCTTGTTTCTAAACTATTAGTGCTTTTCCTATTTGTTTTCAAAATCTTGTCTCATGTAGTTGTCTTTCATTTTCATATCTTTATGAAAAATATATGTTCTGCAGCATTGTGTTGACATTAGCTTAATGCTTTTATAAATCCTGAAAAGAGATTCCAAAAGACCAAAAATTCCAAATAACAAAGGTTTTTTTCCTCTCTCTCAAGAATATTAATAGGATCTGGAAAGAGAATAATTATTTCTAATTCAGCAATATTTATCAGTAGTTTATTGTCAGCTTCTTTAAAGCTTTTATTTATAAATATATTTATTAACATTTCTCTTCACAGACAAAGTGGGAGCATGGAATTTCATTTTCCCTTGTTGGCAAACTTTTGAAGCCATTATTCCTCTACCAGAATTCAACATTTAATAATGGGAGTCAATTTACCTTTTAAATAACAAGGGCTCCAAGATGTCTATGGAAATTCTCAGTCATCCAGGTCATGATTGCCCCAAAGGTGCTTTTCCAAGAGGCAACTGGACTTCTTTGTTTTTCCTTGAAGACATTTCGCTTCTCATCCAAGATTTATTTTTATTCTTCTCAGATTGTACCAGACAATTTTAATGATATTTATTTTTATTCTTCTCAGATTCTACCAGACAACTTTAATGATAGTAAACAAAAAAAGAAAGGGCTAGTGAAAAAAATTCAGGTAAGTTCCATAATAAAGTTAGAGTGTTTTGCATGTAAAGCAGAGATTAGAAAATCAGAAATTGCAAATGGTTAAAAGTGCATTGGGAGTGTTGTAACTTCAGACTTGCAAGATACGGTTAATGTAGCTTTAAAATAGATTTAGCTAAAATGTGTGGGATACGGCTAAAGCATATTTCAGAGGGTTGGCTATAACTTATATCGCTAAAAAGAATAAAGAAAAGAAACAAAACAATTAAAGTTGAAGGAAGAATTCAGAAAGTTAGAATCAGAATTACAAATAGATCCACAAAAGAAAATACTTAAGAAACAAATGGGGATAATAAAACATAAATTAATTCTAGCCAGATGGAAATAATGGCTCAACAGATTAAAAGGGCTAAACAGAACTTCTTTGAAAATGCCAACAAGCCGGGGAGATGGTTAGCATATAGACTGAAAAAAGAAAGAAAAAAATGATAAACAAGCTGCAAGATCCAAAAGGTGAATTACAGTTTCAAAATGATACAATTAAAAAAAATATTAAAAATTATTATGAGATACTTTATAAGGCAGAGGAAATTCCAAAAGAAAAAATACAGCAGTATTTAAAAAAAGCAGACTTAACAAAAATTTCAGAGAATATTCGAAACATATTGAATGGAAAAATATCAGTGATGGAGATTATAGAGGCTACAAAAAGGCAAAAAAATGATAAGACTCCTGACCCAGATGGATTACCTGCAGAGTTTTATAAATCATTACAAGATGTATTAAGTCCGATCCTGAAAGAATTGTGTAATGGAATACTCCTGGAGGCTAAAATACCAAATACATGGACTGAAGCCAATATTACTTTAATACCCAAAGAAGACTCTGATTTAATGCAAATAAAAAATTATAGACCAATATCACTATTAAATGTACATTATAAAATCTTCGCCTCAATAATGGCAGAAAGACTAAAGAAATTTTTGATCGAATTTATACATATAGACCAAAATGGTTTTCTACCTAAAAGACAGGTAAAAAATAATTTAAGAATGATTCTTGATGTGTTAGAGTACTATGAAGTTCATTCAGGGAAATAGATGGCTTTAATATTCCTTGATGAACAGAAAGCATTTGACAATGTAAACTGGCAATTTATGTTCCAGCAACTTGCAGAAATGGGCTTTGGAAAAAACTTTATAAATGTAATCAAAACAATTTATTGTAAACAAACAGCTAAAATAATTGTAAATGGAGATTATACAGAAAACTTCAACATTAAAAAGGGCACAAGACAGGGATGCCCACTATCTCCATTACTATTTATACTAACATTGGAAGTACCGAATAGAAATATTAGACAAGATATAGAAATTAAAGGACTGGAGATAAAAGATGAAAAATATAAACTACAAGCATTTGCAGATGATTTGGTTTTCATATTGGAAGATCCATTGGAAACAAGCACTAACCTTATGGAGAAAATAGAAAAATTTGGAGAAGTGGCAGGGTTGACAATAAACAGAGAAAAGACTAAAGTGCTAACAAAGAATCTAACAGAAAACAAAAAAAATCAACTAACAAAAAAAAAACAAATCTTCAAATAGTTAAAAAAGTTAAATATTTGGGAATTTATCTAACAGCAAGATGTGTAACAATAAAAGAAGATAACTATGTAAGACTGCTAAAACAAATAAAATTGGATTTGGAAAAGTGGAAAAACTTCCAACTTTCAATGTTGGGGAGAATAGCAACAGTGAAAATGAGTATCTTACCAAAAATACTCTTTTTATTTCAGACGATTCTTGTAAGGTTGGGAAAAGCCTTTTTTGATGAACTGAATACAACAATATTGAAATTTATCTGGCAAGGGAAAAAAAGCTAGAATTAGATTGAAAATGCTACAAGAAGCGAAAGAAAGTGGAGGATTTCGACTGCCGGACTGGATGTTATACTCCCAAGCAACTATTCTAACATGGTTTAAAGAATGGATAATGCTTAGAGACAAAAGACTATTGTATCTAGAGGGACATGACCTACAAATTGGTTAGCATGCCTTTCTGTGGTATGGGAAGAATAAAATACATAGATACTTTCAAAACCATTTTATAAGGAATGCACTTCTTTCTGAGTGGGAAAAAATAAAAGAAAAAAATTATATTAAGATACCTGGATGGCTTTCAACAATGGAAGCTTTTGCTTACCCAAATTTAATTAACTACGATAAAGTTGTGACTTATAAAGGTATTTTGGACAATGAAGGAAAATTGAAAGACAGACAAGATTTACAAGAACAAGGTATTGATTTAGCATGTGGCCATATCTGCAAATTCAAACAAGATATGAAAAAGATGCTAAAACAATGGGATTTTATAAAGAACAGACAGAATTTGATCAGATACTGTTAAAAACAGACGAAAAGTTGATTAAGAAACTCTATAGATTTCTGTTAAATTTAAAGATGGAGGAAGAACAAGTAAAAGAAATAATGATAATATGGGCAAAGAACTTTGGATATAATATAAAATTAGAAGACTGGCAAAAGTTATGGGAAAGAAATGTTAAATTAAATAAGGCAGTGGCATATAAAGAAAATTTATATAAAATATTTTACAGATGGCATATGACACCAGTGAGATTAGCAAAAATGTTTAAAAATACTTCAAACAACTGTTGGAAATGCAAACAAAGACCAGGTACTTATTATCATATCTGGTGGACATGCCCTAAAGCAAAAAGATTTTGGGTTAAAATACATTTATGGTTGGAGAAAATGACTAAAAAACAAATAGACATTAAGCCAGAATTATTTTTGTTAGGAATAATAGGAGCAAATTATGAGAAAGATTGCATATATTTAATACTACAAATACTAACAGCAGCAAGAATTGTATTTGCCCAACATTGGAAAAATGAAAATTTACCAGTTGAAGAAGTACTAATTAAGAAAATTTTAGAGTGTGCAAAAATGGATAGATTGACTTTAAAAATAAAGAGAAAGTTAGAGTGTTTTGCATGTAAAGCAGAGATTAGAAAATCAGAAATTGCAAATGGTTAAAAGTGGTGTTGGGAGCATTGTAACTTTGGACTTGCAAGATATGGTTAATGTAGCTTTAAAATAGATTTAGCTCATCATGTCTTGTTTCCTGTCTGGTATGTTCAGGAGGCTGACAGAACTCCAGCATAGAATCCTTTTTCGCTTATATAACAAGACTATGGGGTTGAATAAGACACAGTTCATTTCCACCCAAGCCTTCAGAGCCACAAGTTTACTAAGTCAGCACTGAAATAGCATCACATCCTTGGCCAAAGGTAGAGTTGTATCAATCAATCAATCAAAATGTATTTATAGTCCAAACCAAAGACAATAAAAGACCAGCAAATAATACACTGATTAAGTAAGTAGTACTGCATCCAATGCTATCAAATAACGTTACCCAGCCATTTCATGTAACAGTTAAAGATGAGTGATCAGAACCTTGTGGCATTCCACACTGTAGGGACCTAGGTCTAGACCTGTCTTCCTCCACTAACACCAACTGGAAACAGTTACAGAGAAAAGAGAAGAAAACAGTTCCTGAAGCCTGTCCAGCAAGTTCTTATCTTCATTATTTTATGAGAGTTAAATACACATTTATATTTGAAGAATAAAAGTTGAACACATAATTTAATACTTGCAAATTTTTGCATTAGAATAGCTAAATGTCATTGATTACATAGATCTTTTTAATACTACTTATATATTCTTATATAATAATACATCAGAATTGTATACCTTTCTGTGTGTAAGCTTGTGTGTTTATGCATTTGTTCCAGAAACCATCTTCAAAAAGGATTATGATAAAAAATAATTAAATTAATAATTATCCATTAAAATTAATCTCTAAACTAAAGTACTAATAATCAATAATTTATAAAATTATTTCCATGTGCATATGCCACCATTCTTTCATAAACCAAAACACAGACCTATACAATTCCATCTTTCTTTCCAGAAAAAATAGCAAAAAAAAGATAATAGGATGTAAATAGGGTAAATGAATAACAGAATAACAGAGTTGGAAAGGACCTTGGGGGTCTTCTAGTCCAGACCCCTGCTCAAGCAAGAGACCCTATACCGTTCCAGACCAGCGGCTGTCCGGTCTCTTCTTGAAAGCCTCCAGTGATGGAGCACCACAACTTCTGAAGGCAAGCCATTCCACTGGTTAATTGTTCTCACTATTTGGAAATTTCTCCTTAGTTATAGATTGCTTCGCTCCTTGATTGGTTGATTGTTTTTTTCTCTTGCCTTCTGGTGCTTTAAAAAATAGATTGACCTTCTCTTCTTTGTGGCAGCCCCTTAAATATTGGAACATTGTTACCATATCACCCCTGGTCCTTCTTTTCACTAGACTGCATACCCAATTCCTGCAACTGTTCTTTGTATGTTTTACCCTCAGACTCCTAATCATCTTTGTTTCTCTTTTCTGCATTCTGTCCAGAGTCTCAACATCTTTTTTATAATATGGTGACCAAAACCAGTATTCTAAGTGCAGTCTTATTAAGGCTTTATAAAGTGGTACTAATACTTCACATGATGATTTTACTCCTCTGTTAATGCAACCTAGGATTATATTGGCTTTTTTGGTGGCTGCTGCATACTGCTGGCTTATATTTAAGTGATTGTCCACTAGGACTTCAGCCTCTCACAGTTACGGCTGTTGAGGCAGGTTTCACCTAATCTGTACTTGTACATTTGGTTTTTCTTGCTTAAGTGTAAAACTTTTCTCTCCATTGAATTTCATTTTATTAAATAGGCCCCAGTGTTCAAGTCTTCTGGGGTGTTGGTTATTCCTGCCAGTTTAGTGCCGTCTACAAATTTGATGAGTTTCCCTTTTGTTCCCTCATCTAAATCGTTTATGAAGATGTTGAAGATTCTTGGGCCTAAAACGGAACCTTGGGTACCCCTCTGCTTACTTCCCTCCATATAGATGTAGTTCTATTAGGGACTATATGTTGAGTGTGGTTTGTCAATCAGTTACTTTGTCAAATGAAGAGTAGCTGCACTAGGGGGGAGAAGGAAAATGAAAGGGAGGAAGAAAACTGTGTTAATATTATAATAATATATGGAAGAAGATGCTCTAGTAGAATTGTCTGTGGTGTTCAGTGTATAATTAATAACTAAAATAAATTGTCACTTTTATCTTAGAAATGTAGTAGGAATATTACATTTTGACAAATATTGCTTTGTCTTTATTTTTGTTTTCAGGCTTTTCTTGCACAGTGTGATACAGTAGAAGGAAATATTAGTCAAGAAATGGATAAACTACACTCAAAGAATATGGTTCTTGCAGAATGAAGCTCTTTTAAGTAACTAGAATAATGAATTGCTCTGTGAGCAGAAAGAACTGTTTGCTCTTGCTTTTGGAACAGTTATTCAAGTGTTCAGAATTTTAGTTTTAGTAGAGTTTTGTGAGAGCGTTGCATGTTAGCTATTGTTTATTCATCAATATGTATTCTGGTTATATTTAAGGATAGTCTTCAGACACACAACCCATCTCTATTTGTTTATTATTTTTCCCTTGCTACATTGCAATATATCGTTGTCTGAACATACATATTTCAGCTGTTGTGGTTTCAGTATTTCTATCAATAACTTTTATGGATGTTGTACAATCAAATCAAATATCTTTTATCATTGTCATTGAAAATAAACTCAATAAACAATGTAATACATTGCAACAAATATCCTACCACATTATATGTGTATGAATATATGACATATATATGATTATATCTGTATGCATATATATCACATATATATGATTATATGTGTATGAATATATATGTGTGTATGAATATATATGAAAATATATGTGTGTATGAATACATATTTGTACAACAGTGGATTGGAGTGCCCACGGCAGCAGCTGAGAGTAGTGTGGCAGATCAGCAGTGGCTGAGGGCAGTGTGGTGGACAGCTGCACAGCAGCTAAGTGGAGCAGAACACCCAGATCAGTGCAACATACCTGAAAACCCTGGCAGTGGCCAGGCAAATGAAGGGCAAGAAGGCAGGTGTCAGATGTCCACCTAGCAAATCCAAGAAAGAAACTCCTGGGACATTCTTCTTCCCAAAAGTATTCAATACTTTTATTGAATACACTACATTGGCACAAAAGAAGCAAAACCAGTTCTGAATTTCCCGCTCAGAAGTCCACATAATTAAACCTGCATTACCCCCTTTGCCCATTCTCTTCAGTCCATTGCATTGTCCAATCAACTACACTCCTTTTGTTATGAGAATTGCCTGGATTGTTCAAGTACCTGTGCAGCATGACCTTGAAGGGGGAAGCAGGGCCTCATAATCTGTAGATGGATTCCTAGCATTCCATTACCACCCCAAGCAATTCAACTACCCCCCTCCTGATAGTTGTCAAGTTGAGAGCAGAGAAGAAACTAGGTGAAAAGCGAATCACTCTTGGCATGCTGACCCCCTGGAAAAATGATACATCTGGAATGAACACAAACACATTATCATACACAATCTACCATCTACAAAACACAGTTTCACTTTGGTCATTTAGGGTACTTGGCATGAAACTTCTTTATTAATTTAGCTGCTTTAATGTCCTTTGTCACCACCCATTCAGCATCCGCTACAAGATAGCCCTTCCATCACATAAGGTACTGCAATTTTTCCTGTGGTGCCTAGAGTCCAAGACGTCCTTAATCTCATAGTGTTCCTCCCCTTTCATAAGGATTGGAGGTGGAGAGATCCCTCCACTGGCCTTAGCTTAGAAACTCAAATGGACTTTAGTAGACTGCAATGAAACACTGGGTGGACCTGCCTATGACTTCTCAATATCTGTAACTTCACTGTCAGCGGATTTATAATCCACACAATGGAGAAAGGACCTATATATTTAGGACCCAGCTTTTTACAGAGCTGTCTTAGGTTTAAATACTTTGTGGACAAGTACACTTTATCACCCACTCTGAACTCCCTTTGAGGGATCTCTTCTAATTGGCTTTTTCCAGTCCTCTCTTGCTTTCCCTAGTGGCTTATTCACCATAACCCATGTGCCTCTCAGAGAGTCCACCCATTTCCTTTAGTGTTGCGGAGGTCCCAGGGAAAAGCTCCAGCATGGCTATGAACTCAACCCCCCATAGTGACCTTAAAAGGGGTAAGTCCCATGTTGCTATGCACCGAGTTATTGTAAACCACTTCAATGAACAGCAGCAGCTCAGCCCAGTTAGTCTGCTGATAATTTATATAACACCTTAGATATTGTTCCACCATTGAGTTCACTTGCTCTGCTGATCTGTTAGTACTGGGATGGAAATTGGAGCCAAGCTCCTGGGATGAGCCTACCAGGCTCATGAACTCCTGTCAGAACTTTGCAGTAAATTGCACCCCCTAGTCCGAGATAATCATCTTTGGGACCCTGTCCAGTCTGTAAACATACTGCACAAACATTTTTGCTAGGAGTTGGCCTGAGAAAAGCTTTGGGCATGGTATGAAATGTGCCTGCTTGGAGAATAGGTCAACAATGGTCCATATTACAGTATTCCCACCACTTTCTGGCAGCTCAACTATAAAGTCCATGGCTATCTACCTAACCAGTTAACAAATGTATGTAAGAAGCATACCACAGTAGTAATGGGAGATTTCAACTATCCAGATATCAACTGGGAGATCAAATAGATTCTTAACCAACTTAGCCAACATCTTTGTCACCCAAAAAGTGGAGGAGGGAACTAGATGTAAAGCTATACTGGACTTAAGTCTTACTATACTGGAATTTAATATAATGAAAACACTAGCAATAGAAAACAACTCAACCAGTGTCTTAAACTTCAAAAGATTTCTCAGAATTAAAACTGCCCCCATGGCCATGTCACTAGCATCTGCTTGGATCCTGAATGGCTTCTCTGAATTTGGGTGTCTCAAGATTGGCTCAGCAGCGAAGAATCTCTTTAACTTTTTGAAGCCACTTGGCACTCTACAGTCTAGTTCAAGGGTTGACTTGGTCTGGGCTTCATTCCCTCCCTCATTTTTAGCAGGTTCATGCTGGGTAGGGCTATCTGTGCGAACATGGGAATGAATTGCCTATAGAATTTGCAAACCCCAGGAAACTCTTCAGTTGCCTTTTGGTCCATGGGGCATCCCATTCTAAGATTGCTCTCACTTTTCCCAGGTCCATTTTTACCTGCCTGGATATGTGGTAAACTAAGTACTCTAGACTGTTCTTGTGGAAGTCACATTTGGATAACTGTGTACAGCTGGGCTTTTAGCAGCTTCTCTAGCACAGCTCTCACTAGCTTTTAAGTGCTCTTCCATGGTCTCAGTATAGAATAAAATATCATCCAAGTACACTAGCACCATTTTATACAGGTGTTCATGTAGGACTTCATTTATCAGTTGCAGGAAAATGGCAAGTGCCCCTTGCAGCTTGAACGGCATCACCCAAAATTGGTAGCATCCCAAGGGGCAGTTGAACGCGGTCTTCCCCTTCCCTAATCTGCACTCAGTAGTATGCTTCCCTCAAATCCAACTTGGTTAAAATCTTTCCTTTGGACAAATAACCTAACATGTCCTTCATCAGGGGAAACAGGGTAGATGTTCTTCATGCAAATGGCATTTATCTTCCTATAATCCACGGACATTCTTAGGGACTCATCTAACTTCTCCTTGAAGAACACCAGGGCTGCTACCCTCGACTTGACTGGCTGGATGAAGCCCCTTGCTAGTTTCTTGTCTATGAATCCTCTAAGCTCCTTCATCTCCCTGGGTGTCATGGAATACATCTTTGGCTTTGGCAGTTTAGCCCCCGGTATAATTTCAATGGCACAGTCCATTGGATGGTGAGGCAGTAGCACATCTGACTCCCTCTTGCAGAACATCTCAGCAAGATCGCAGTATATCCCCAGAATGAACGGTTCTAACCTCTCAGCCTCTGTTGTGCATTAGCAAGATCCACTTTTGCCTCCCTAACCATAGGCTCATGGCTGGCACTTGGTGCTTTCCTCAGTTTCTGCTACTTAGCCACCCTTTTTTTCATGCGCCACTTGCTATTGTCCCAGTCTACTGCCGTATTCCACTTCTTCAGCCAGCCCAGCCCCAGGATCATAGTCTCAGTCATTCAAGGGGCTGCAATAAAACATGCTTCCCAATCCTTAGGCTCACTGATTTTGTCAAGTAAATCACTGGCACTCCCCCCCCAATAAGGGAACCATCTAGCTCAGGGGTGGGCAAACTTTTTGACTCGAGGGCCGCAATGGGTTCATATATTGGACCCGGGGGCCGGACCAAGAGTAGATGGACGGTGTGTATGTGTGAATTAATATAAATTAAATTTACATTTGTAACATTAAATGTTTAGATTAATTTAAGGTAGAAAAGCATAAAAAGAGTTATTTTACAAAACTTTTATGCANTCTGCAGTTACAACTTACCACAGTGCAGAATACAATACCATCAAAAGTGATATTTTTGCTCTTTTTTTTTCTACTTCCATCCATTTCCAAGCTTCTTTCTTCTTATCAGTCCCTCCCCTCTTCCCCCACTAGCTGCTGGCCAGCCCAGCCAATCCAGCTCCTTGCAACTCCCTAGCCAGCCACCGGGAGCACTAGATAAATTATTCATTTATTCACCTCACTAGACACAGCATGAGGTGAATAAATGAATACATTATCTAGTGCTCCGCGGGCCGGCTTGAAACGGCCGCCGGGCCGTATACGGCCCACGGGCCGTAGTTTGCCCATTGCTGATCTAGCTGTTCAAATCCCACAGGCCACCTTAGTTTCCTGAGTCTCAACCCCAATTTTTCCATGGTTGGCAAGCTGATCAGGCACCAGATGCAACCTGAGTCTAACAGAGCCATGAGGATATCTTTTACTTTGAGTAGGGGAGAAAGATCTCTACCTGAGTAGTCATAAGGGTGATGGTGCCACTTACCATTGGGTCGTCTTCCCCCTTGCTGTCACACTCATAAAAGACCAAACCAGACTTATCAGAGGTCAAAGTTCCCTCCCCTTCGCTGGATAGGCAGGGAAACCTCCATGACCTGTTGCGCAACCCACATATTTTCCTTTGGCTTTGCCGGCAGTTTTTTCCCCCTTTGGCTGGGCTGGGGTCTGCGATGCAGATGCTGGATGCAGAGCCAAGCAGTTGGCCACTCGGTGGTCTTCCTTCTTGCATCAGAAGCAGGCTTCTAGGATTCAGCAGGGCTTCTCCTGGGGTCCAAGGGGTACTGCCCTTCCCCTCCCGGGCTGCAAGGCATCTTTTAGCAGGGCCAGCTTTTGTGGGCAGCATGCTATCGGTACTCCATTAGGTCTAGCTCCACATTAATGGCCAGCTGGTACTATGCCCTAAGGTCATTAGGCATCCCCCGAGGTAGGCAGTTGTGTACAACAGGGCTTTTCAACCAGTGGTACGTGTACCACTAGTGGCACGCGACCACCTGACTGGTGGTACGTGGTGTCGCCTTCCTCCCCCCGCTGCCCCCCCTAGGGCGTCGCCTTCCTCCCCCCCTCCTTCACAGCTCACTTGCTTGTTGAAATTGAAAACAAGCTGCTTGGCGAGGGCCTGCAGGAACCTTACTGAGGGCGCGTGAAGAGCGCAGGCGCAGAGCGAGGCCCCACCCTTCCCAGGGACTCCTTGTGCAGGATCCATGTTGCCCTTCCCCCCCTCTTCTTACTTCAGAAGTAAGTGCGAGCCTGAAGGGAACAGATCCATCCATTCGCAGGTAGGTGTTTAAGACCTCTCGCGTTGC